TGTCAGGTTTATTGCTCTATGTGCTGTTTGGAAATTGTTTGTGTATCGTAGGTGTGTACATAGTCTTACAGCTATGCAAACCTATTTCATATTAAAATTTTATATCCATATTAGATCTATACAATTTAATGGACTATTCTTTTTCTTCTTATTGCATCTCCAGCCATGCATCCAATGCGTGCAAAGAAATTTCTTGTCTTACAAGACTTAAAGTCATTAGACCGCCAAAAAGCTGTGAATTAAACACAATGCAAGTAATGCCGGCATTCATCCTAACACAGCAAACCAGAGAGAAAATTGCACAGCCTCTCAAATATCAGACTTTGGGGTTGATTCATTCATCGGGTCTGTGACCTGACAAGGCAGTATGATTAATTGCACACATATTCCCTCTGAGGTTTTCCTGCTCATGCTTTCTGCAGCAAAGATTGTTAGCTTGACAGATCAGTGTAGCAACCTCTTAAGATGCCAGAGAGGGAAGGGGTTGGTTTCTGATTGAAAGCCAATGGAAGAATAGCAGCTGCTCCATGCTGAGGACAAAAAAAAAGAAAGAAAAAAAAAAAAGAAAGAAAAAAAAAAGAATGAAAAAAAAAGCAGCTTTTGATTCTTGGAGAAATCACACAGATACATAAGCTGATTTTTGATAACTCTGGCTATATGATTTCTGTCAGGGACTGAAAGGATATATTCACACAACACAATAGGCTTCATAATTAGGAAATCTGCTGTGCTTCCTTTCATCCGATTACCTAAATATAAGCCACTGCCTGATTTTTTTTCTTTTCTTTTCTTATTAAACACTGTTCTAGGTGTTTCCTTTTCCACATGTTTATTCTCCATTTTAAAACACTTCTGTCCACTTAGGGTAAAGTTTTCAGAGACAGACTCAGCAAGCAGCTCCTGTATTTGCAGTGCTGAGCAATGATGCTTGTTCCTTCTGTTAACAGGCAATCCACACTGTCCCAGCATGGTACCAGACCCACACAGGTGTTGACTGCCCACTTTAAAATCTTTTTCATTTTTCAAGTAAGGCCTAAACCCCTAGCAACCTGTATCAATCAATTCCTCAACACTTAATCCCTACACTTTATCTATGGAAGGGTTTTAAGCATTAACCGTTTCCCCTTTCACATTTCCCAGCTGGGCTCTGATGGGATAACATATGCTTGACAAATCCTTTCATGTAGTGCTCAAAGTGAGCTGAGTTGCCTGATGGATCTCTGTAGACACTCCTGCTCCTGTGGGGATGACACCACAGCTCTGGCTTGGGAATGGAGAGCTTATGGAGGTGAAGAACAGCCAGGGTAACCCTGTGGGCAGGAGCACCAGGGCTGGGGCGGGCAACGGCCAGTTGAACAGAGGTGGCAGATGCATGGAGAGCTCTGCACTTACACTTTGCAGATTTCTTTGCTCTGATTTAGGACAAATCACTCAAAGCACACCTGCAAGTGCAAGTCTGGAAACTAAGACCAGTGTCACCTCTCCACAGCACTTCCCAGATCACAACTTACAGCATGTTCTGAAGAAGCCAGGTGATAACCCCTTCAAATCCAGCAGACTGTGTTAGACCCCTGCCAAAGGGCTGTGTTTACACCACAAATGATGAGTAATGATCATTAAAGATGCCCCTGGATATCCCCATGACATACCTCATCTGCTCCTCCAATCATTGAATTAAGCCCCTCATTCGGTAGGTAAACTTTCTGCTGCATAATCAAACCTCATCTTTTAATGGCCACGCAGAAATAAACAGAGCAGGACAAATGCAACAAAAAGTGCTTCTGTTACTTCAACTTTTGAAACAAGCCTAAGAGGCTAACAGAGGAAGATACTCGATAAACAAAATTATTTAATTGCACTACATGAAAGAGAAGGCAGGTCTTACTGAAGCGGCGCAGCAGACAGCACGATGAAACAAAATTCCCCAAAGCAATGGCACATAAATACTGACTAAAACGCAAAAGTCAACTCTGCAGATGGTTCTGGAAAAAGAGGTGCTCTGGCTGTAAATATGCTTCAAAGAATACACCACAAAAACTGGAAAGCCACAAAGCCAAAGGGGAAATCAGTGAATAATCCACTAGAAGGAAATCCCCAGCTTCCACAATCAAGTATGGGGATTAGAAAGACATTTCTGAATCAGTGAGGAACAGGCTGGGACAGAAGAGTGCATTTTAGGTTGGGTTTTTTTTTCCCCCCCCAGCATCCCATACTGCCAAGACAGGAAGATATTTACTGTCTGTCTTTGCATGTCAGTTTAGATGTTTAATTTGGGATGATAATCTCTCTGCAAAGTTATGTTATATCATCTTTGTAGACATTACTTTCTTCCAGAGGCCTTTGCAAATGGCATTTCTAACAGATGTAAAGATATGATTGCTGATCAAGCAAGCTGCATCACCTCAGTTCACTTCTTGCCTTTTGCTCAGTGAATCAGTTGCACAATTCAGTCACAAAAGCTTCTGAAGCAAAGCTAGAGAGGATTTTGTTAATCTGGATTTGTGAGCCCCAAGCAACTGGCTTAAAAATCCATGATGAATCTGTGTCACTGCATATTTCCTTCTCCTTTGTGAAAACAAAGGATGTACATATACAGAAAATCAGAGTTATTCCCCTTACCTGTAACAAGTTACCATCAACTAGAGCAAATTGATGAGGGGAACTTGCCACCACCTTACCCAGATAAACAAATCACCCTCATTTCCATTCTGGAAAAGTAATGTATATAAAAGAATACAGTAACCAGCCATCCTGATCCAGCCGCACGTGTGCAGCATTTCCAAGGGCTCCGAGGCAGGAGAATTGCAGAGATGTGGGTGAGGCCATGGCAGCGAGACGAGGGTGAAGGGAGACACCGTGTCCTTGGCAGGACACCACTTCCAGAAGACAGCAGGGCTTTCATCTGACAGGCTGAGAGCTCACAACCTCTCTCCATCCAGTATCTCCATCACCGTCCTTTTCAGCAGGCAGAGACAAGAGGAGACCTGGGTGAGCCCAATAACAGGCACCTCCAAAGGGGTGGCGTTTAACACTGAGAGAGGAAAATTGCACACAAGTAGTATTTTTCATCACAGAACTTGGGGTGCTTGAACGCATGCAACCAACACCAGCTGGATCTTTTGTACAGGGCAGCTAGCCATGAAGCACCAAGTTCCTGCCTCCACAGCGAGAGCTGCTTAACTCCTCCAAACGAACAGCTGTGCCAGTGTGGACTGGGATGGGAGGACTCTCCAAAAGTCATACAGCAAGTAAGCAGGAGAGTGGGGAATGACCTCCAGCCACCTTGCTGCCCTCATCACCGGCCACCACCATGCCCAAAACGTGTACAGTTTTATAAAGTAAGAAGCCTTATGGAAATTAATTCTTAAATACACAGTATGATTCATCTGAGCTGGAGACTGGGCAATACAAGCAGGTTTGTCACTCTGCCTTGTGCCAACAAAGCTTTCAGGCTTTCAAACCTAGCACTCTTCTCATCCTTGGGAAATACCTCTCCTGTGTGTTAAAAGCACAATGAAACACAAGGTATTTAAATATAACACTAAGGATATCAGAGATTACTTCAATGAACAGTATGGTTGGAATTGCAGAACCATTAGTGTAGATTAAAATGCCTTGCCAGTAATCACATGCTAAGAGACTCACTTTCCTGACTGAGCCACATGGTTTCTCTTCTCTGCTGTGTGCCAGCCCTGCAAAGGCACACAGCTGGTCCCAGGGGTGCACAGCCCTGTGGGGGTGAGGACAAGTGCCAGGAAGCTGCTCTGGTCTCAGCCCTCGACTACCGCATGCAATGGATGTGCCTGGGGTAGCTACCAGAAATATGGAAATCTCTGCACTGGGCAAGTAGACTAGGGCTGGTAGTCCCATCACACATGGCAAGGAGCTGGAAGGAGCAAAGGAAGGTGACCCAGCAAGATGCCATGCACAGCCTGCCTTGCATTTTCTGGAGCATCCCCTTGGAGGAGCCCTGCATGGAGCTGGTGTGATCGGGGTGGGCAGTTCTGCAGCAGACACCCATGGCCCTACCAAAGAGTTCTCTGGCCACCCCTGGATCCTGGTAACATGCATCACACCATGGCACAAGCTGCCCTCAGCAAGAACTCAAGCACTGCACTTTTTGGGGTAATCTCTGGTAAACCACATTCATGTAAAATGACTTCAAATCCCTGCTGCTTAGAGCCTGAGAGTGTTTTGGTGAAGAAGATAACTGAGACGGGGCAAGAAAAAATGTAGGGACTGAATACCACCAAGGCAATAAAATTAGATAAACTATTTAATCACCTTTTCCAGTAATGATTTCTTTTTTTTTTTTTGAGAAATATTTCTGAGAGATTTCTACATTTCTTTGTAATGAACAGGTGATGGTGAAGGATTTCATCTAGACAGAACTTAAATTTTGAATTTTAAAGTGAAGTTCTACACACACACAAAAAAAGAAAAAAACTCCAAAATCAGCACAGTGTTATTTTCAGCAGCAGCACAGTGTTATTTTCATCTTAAAGCTTTTTTTAAAAAACAAAAACAAAGCCAAAACAAAGGTTAAAAAAAAAAAAAAAAACAAATCAACCAAACTTTATTATTTTGGAAATACAATCTATCACAAAGTAAATATTTAAAATCTTTTATATTAAACAATAGTAAAGATCACTTCCTGGAGCTGAAATGAGCCACATCAGGGGTTTTATAAACTGTCTCAGTACCGCTAGGACCTGGGTAGCTGCTGTTTGGGACTAACAGCACAGAGCATATTTGGTGCAGTGTAGATGGGGGGTTTTTTTGGTATAATATAATTATTTACTGTCATAGCAGAAGAAGCAACTAGCTGACATTTCATGGGGCAGTCTCCCAAGAATAATCCTGAGGCAAGAGCAAGTCCACCATCATCTGAGACAGTGGAAGAAGGTGCAAGTGGGCACCCCACAGACCTGCAGGTGTGTCAAGTTGCCCCACTCGAGACCTTCTTGCAGCTTTTTCTTTTCCATCGGCAGACTTTTCATTTACAAATGCTTCTTCTTTTTTATTGCCTCTGCCCTGACAGCCAAGCTCTTGGCACAGATGGTCAGGACCACAATGAGGACTCCGACCAGGAACGTCACCAGAGGCCAGAGGAAGCAGTGCAAGAGGACAGTCTCATCATGGGTGCGCTTCAGCATCACATCATCCGGCCTGTGAAGAGGATGAACAGAAGAGGGAGAAAATATAGATCAGCTCGACATCATCAATTCATCGTAAGTGGAAAGCATCTGCCATGGAAACAGTAAAGGTGTTTTATTTGCAACAGTGTTAGAAAATTATTACGTGGACCATTTAATTCATTGCTTTCATTTGCCCATCTATAACTAGCACTCATAGCAGGCTGTGAGGGCGTTCCACTTGCTCTGCTTACAGTCTAGCAAGTTCATTAAGATAAAGAGCAATTCAAAAAGCGTTGGTACTCCAGGTCTTCCAGGGGTCATGGGCATCACAAACAGCTGTGAGAGAGACAATATCACACTGTGGATTGAAAAACCACTCCAGATAAAACATACTACCGGCAGCAGTTGTACAGATCTACCTCAAATGGCACCAAGCACTGTGCAATGAGTTTAAAGGGCAAATGAAGCTTCCCTTTAGCTTTGAGCCCTGGTGTGTCCATAGAGCTACATGGAGGCTCCTGATGAAGCTCTGGCTCGGGTCTGGGTCTGGATGGAGAGCCAGTTCCTGTCCTCAGTGCTGCAGTGCTGGTGGCCCAGGCTAGCCCAGCTGTACTGGCAGATAGGGGTCTGCAAAAAACCTTCACTCAGCAAGACTCTTGCCCAGCCCCAGGATGCTGAGGGCTCCTGACTCAGCTCCTTCCCAGAAGAAACTGCTTCTGCAATAAGCTCTGATTTCATACTTCAAAGAACAGCTGTTCAGGGGACTTGTGGACACTCCTACAAGGGTACTTCGGAGAGCCTTCCCTGAAGGTCTGAACCCCCGTGCCTCCACCAACAGCATCTAACACAACCCACGGTTGGGTCTGTGATGGATTTATGAATTTCCAAAGGCAAATGGAAAGAGGAGAGTAGCAAGGAGAGGGCATCTCAAGAGATTTGGAAATTCAGCCATGCTACGTGTCTGAAAAATCAAGTGTCCATCTGTCTCCTCCAAGTCTGGGAAGTCAGTTTGGAAATCTGATGGTAGGTTTTCCTCAGCTCTGGCTCCTTCTGCTCTCCTTGCAGTTTAACAGTTATTAAATCAGTCTTCTGGAGTTTGCACTTCATTGCTGCTTTCCTATCTACAGCCAGAGACATGCAGTCTGCTGGAAAACTATCTGCAAAAGAAGGAAACAGAACTTTTTCTAATTAGGAATATATATATAGTCTTGACTCATGTTGGTCCTCACTTACATTGAACACTCCTATCCCACGTTGCTTTTTCAACACTACCCAACACTCCCTGGAGCAACAAACTTCACAGTTTGAAATCCTGGCACGCTGGGCTCATCCAGCCAAATCTTGGGAATGAAGCTCTCCTAATGCAGTGGCACATGGGAACAGATACCTGCACAATGACTGTGCTGTCTCTCCCCCAACAGCTTTGTCCTGACCAGAAAGCAGCACTACAAAAACATTCCCTGTAGGGGAAGCAAGAAGAAACTTGTTTTCCTTCACTAGGAAGTTAATTAATGAAGATGCCTACAAATCTCCAGGGTTTTATCCATCCTTAAGGAGCTGTTGGAGCCAGACCACCAGGCAACACCTGATCCCTGATTTAATTGCACCCTCATTTGCATTTGGGATCTCTCCCCCAAAATTGGTGTGTGGCGGTACCTCTGCACTGTGCCAGCCTGCAAGTCCTCCAGGCGAGCCCCACACACCTCTATTTCTGTAGCAAGGAGCAGAGTAAGGTTCTGTGACTGTGAACAGCTCAGCTGTATCTGAGCTGAAACTCAGCAACATAAAAAATGATCAAAAGAAACCCAGGTGTATTCAGTAGTGGAACACGTGAAGTCTGCTCAACCCAAATTCTCCAGACACATAATCAGGTATATGTGGAGACTATAAATTGAATAAAATAATATTAACTTTATGGGCACAAACTCACCAGCCTATGCCATATAAATGACAGCACCAGAACAGAAAAATCCTTTCACAGGACTATAACACTGCTTCCCTCACATTTACTGTATCCTCATCTGTGAATGGCAGAGTGCTAATTGGCAAGAGGGCCATAAGTAGGCAGCATTCATTTGTTGCAGCTCTCAGCTTACAAGTGATATTTAATTTTAAGTATTTTTTTTAAAGCAGGTACTAATCAACGAGTTCAAAAATGAGGGGCGAGCAAACAAACCAGAAAACTGGATTCAGTTAAAGAAAAGGAAGCGTGACAGGGGAGAGTGAGATATGCTTTTGACTGAGTCTTAGACATTTTGGAAAACTTCTGTATCAAAGGTAGCAGCAATGGATGCCAAACTGTCATGATGATGTGACTGTAACTCTTGGAACTTAGTAATTTTAAAGAGTTTCCCTTCTGGAAAAGAGTCAAAGACCTATAGAGGCATTTAATGAAGCCTCAGGATAAGTTTTGGATTCAGATGGATATTATTGCTGCTACTCTTAGCTACAGCAAGAGTCCCTGTGCAATTCCTACATGGCAGAAGGTGTGAAACAACTCACTGGCTGCTGCTCACAGTGTCTCTGCAGACAATCACAGAACCTTAGGGGTGGGAAGGGACCTCCAGAGATCACCGAGTCCAACCCCCCTGCCAGAGCAGTGACCTAGTCTAGGGCAGGTCACACAGGAACACATCCAGACAGGTCTTAAAAGTCTCCAAGGTAGGAGACTCCACAACCTCCCTGGGGAGCCTGTTCCAGTGCTCTGGAACCCTTACAGTAAAGAAGTTCTTCCTCGTGTTGAGGTGGAACTACCTGTGCTCCAGCTTGTGACAATGCATCAAGTCATGACTGGGCCCCCCCAAAATACATCATTAAATTACTATTTGCACGACATTTAAGACATTAAATGCCCTTCTTTAATAAAGAGGAAGGAGGATCGCTCCTCGAGCATGACCTGGTGCACAGGAGAGATCAGGGACCCTCCAGGATGTAGCCTCTCAGTACTCACTCTTGGCACCAAAAAGGTGCGGAACAAACTTCAGCCTTCTTCTTACTTGCTTAAATCTCCATAGTTATTCTAGAACTACTGTGCTTTCAGCTGCTTCTTATCTTATCCTAAATTAATTTTCCAGGGTAGATAAGCACTGCTGGACCACAGGAATGATTGTGAAAAGCCAATACAGGCAGACAGTGCTGGCAGCAGATAGACCACAAGCTTCTGGATGACAATGTCCTGCCCAGAACAGTCCATGGAAGCTTATCAAGATCAACTTTGGCAGTATATCGTGCTGTTTCATTGTATTTGTGTGATTCCTCAACTCTGTCAGGACCAGGTTCTCTCTCCTGCACCTGCTGACCCGACAGGAATGTTGCAGGGCATAAGGGAGAGCACTGGGGAGCACTGGGATGGCAGGAAAAGGCAGCAGAGGATGAGAGCCTGGGCTCAACGGTGTCCTTCCCCACAGATCCACCACCAGAACTGACAGCTGTTGAGGAGGTGCTCTGGAAAACAGCTTAGAGGGTGTAATGGCAGCACAGGGTCCCACTGAGAGGCAGCTGTTACAGCAGAGAGAAATACCTGAAGAGAGGTTATTGAAAAAGAAAATGTTTACTAATCTCCTTTACCAGATCAACTCCTTTTACCTTTGTTTTTTGGTATTGAGATTGCAAACAAAGACAAATAACACCTTCCAAAGCAAGGAGGGAAAATCAGCCCTGCTGATCACAATGTGCTTCAGGAGACCCTGAGCCCACGTCTCTGCTGCTGCAGCCAGGGCTGGTGCCAGCAGAGAGCCCATGTGGCTGAGCTGGCCAGCATGACCTGAGAAGGACCATCCAGGCAGAGGAAAACCCCCCTGACCAGGAAAGCCACCCCAGTGGCACATGGGTGATACTGGACCTGCCAGTCTACAGTAAGAGCAGCCCAAGGAGCATGGGCCAGGCAGCCACCTGTCCTCTGCAGCAGGAGCACTGCAGCACTGGCAGACCCACACCACTGCAGGAGGCAACAGCAGGAGCTTGGCGATCATCATGGCCCCATGTGCTGTGACCTGTGAACAAGGTAAGTGGGCTCATCCCAAGGTATTCTGTCACTCCTTGGAAAGAGAAGCAGGAAAAGGAGGCACAAGGTGGGTGGTTTGCCAGCCAGACCTGCAAGTCCCAGCTCAGCAGCCAGGGACTGGTGGGATGGGCAGTGTGAGTGAGGGCCTGGGAGGCAACCTGGCTAAAAACATGAAGAATAAACATGTTTGCATTTGTTTCCAGGTGATCCGTGCCAAGCTAAAACCCATGGGTGTTTTATGTGAGATCTGTAAGGTCCAAAACAAAAGACTGAGGGAAAATTAGGAGATAGATGGAGTTAGAATGAGAATTAGTCATATGAACTAAATATAGCAAAGTCATTAGTGATTAATTAACGGATTGGCCTAGAGAGGCTGGATTTCACTTCTTCCAGACTGTTTGTTACCCTCAGACGATGGCACCAGTTTAGGGGAAGAGCGATCGTCCGCCTCCTGAAGAAATGAATCCTCTGGCAGAGCAGGACGGCCACCACCACCCACCAAGCCTCCAAAGGAACCGGCCAGGTGCATAGGGCAGCTGTCCTCTGACATCTGACTCTGCAGAGTGGGGCCATCCCCTAGACAACTCCTAGGTGATCCTGCAACAAACCCTGAAGGTTAAGGAACAAAACCTGCTTGTAGAAAGTACCCAGAGAAGCAGCCAGGACTTCAGAAGCCCTGATTGGCCCATGGGACACAGTCACACTGCTGGGCAGCCCACTGCAGCCTCCTGCTCGGGGCTGACCTTGTTACCAGGCTGTGGCATCAGCCCCCCTCAGGTATCAGTGAGAGGTGGATCTGTCCTGATGTCCTGGTAAAAAACCCTTTGGCTTTCACTCCAAGGCTTACAGAAGTGATGAATGCAAGAGAGCTGCCTCATGCACTTTTGATTCTGAAATATGCACACAGAGACAGTTGTCTTGCCAAGCACAGAGAACATCATCAAGAGAGCAGTCACTGGTGGTGAGCTGTGAGGTTTATGTGGCCCATCACAGCTACTCCTGAGCCCTGAGATAATCACGACGGCTGC